AGAACTGTTGCAACAGGGACTGGATGGCCCCAAAAGCTGAAATTATTTTCTCTCTGGTCCTTTGCAGAAGATGCTTGTTAACCCTTGCTCTAGCGGTAGATGATATTAGAAGAACAGTTTATAGAAGAGAAGAAAAAGGGCTAACAGAGGGGATATTTATTTGAGGTTGAGAGAGCCAGCATCAGTATTTTTTTATTAAAAAAAATTCCCCTTATTTTTAATTGTAGTAAGCTGCACATGCCATGAAATCTGCCATTTTAACCATTTTTGAATGTACAATTCTATGGCATTAAATGTGTTCACATCGTTGTGCGCCCATAAACAAACAGCATCCATCTCCAGAATTTTCTTCGTCTTGGAAAATGGACAAGAGCTCCAGAACAAGAAAATGCAGATGAACAAAAAGCCAAAAAAAAAATAAAAAAAAAAACCCCACAAAACACAAAAAATAAAAACAACAAAAAGAAACACACCCAAATAAATAAAATCACCCATCATCCTGCTTGGCAGAGATGCCAAAGAGAAGAGTAGTTGTTTTTTTTTTTTAACTCTAAAAATATGTACTTTGATATTTAAGCTTAAAAAAAAAAGAATCAGTCTGCTCTCCCTTCCTCCCCCCACCCATTGGCATTTAAGGAAGAAGCTCTAGATGTTCTTAAACATTTGAACTTCCTAAAGTTGTAGACAGTCTATCCAGGGACATGTACAGACAATTAACTTGTATTGTCAGTGTCAGGGGATCTGTGAGGGAAGGGACCTTCTCTGCCTTATTGTTGAATTCTCAGTGTATAGTTCAATGCCTGGGACGCAGTAGGTACTCATTAGATAGTATTTTAGAAGGACTGCAGAAATAGGAATAGGAGAGAGTAGGACCATTCTCCTTCTGATAGACGTCGAGGTTGATTTTATTTGTGTCAGTGTCTTGCTATTACAGAGAGACAGGGCAATGAGGAACATTTTCCCAGGTATGCATCTTTCCCAATGACCTATTATTCTCTTAGCCTAAATTCTTCCAAGGGGAAGAGGTGGGTCAGAGATTGGCACAGATGGTTTTGCCACATACTACTGCATGACCTTTTAGGAAGGCTGTACCAACTGACGCTCCCACCAGCAGGGAGGTGTACCTGTTTCACCACATCTTTGCCAACATTGGGTATTATCATTGCTTTGATCCTGTCAATCTGATAAGTGAAAAATATTATCTTGTCATTATCCTAATGAGTGTCTTTGATTCCCAGTAAGGCTGACTAGTTTTTTGTGTTTCTTGATTTTCTTTCTTTACAAATTTCCCCTTATATCCTTTGCCTATGCTCCCCCCTCTCTCTGCTAGGGGTGAGACTTTTTTTCCTTATTGATTCATTAGAACTTTTTACATATGAAGGATACTAACTCTGTCATTTTGGTGGGTAAGAAGAGACAGAAGTTAACAGAGGGGAAGTCACTGCTCAAGGTACACATCTAAGAAGAGGTGGAGCAGAAATCTGAAACAGGATCTTTCTAGATCCATGCCTGGGGGTCTGTACAGCCTCGGTGGAAACTTCCTCTTTCCCACATCTTGCCCACTCCATGATTCAGGAATCCTGAGTTCCCACCATCTCAGGAAGGGGAGAAACCTTTTGCAAGACCCAGCTCCCCTTGCAACGCCCCAGCAGCACACCTATGGTTTCACTTGCTGTGTAAACTAAATATTTGGCACAGACTAGACACTCGATCAACAGCACTATGCCGCATGCTGTACACAGCTGCTCACTTGTGTTTGATTCTCTGCGACCCCATGGACTGTAGCCCGCTAGTCCGTGTAATTCTCCAGGCAAGAAAACTGGAGTGGGTTGTCATTTCTTTATCCAGGGGGTCTTCTCCACCCAGGGATCAAACTCACGTCTCTTGTGTCTCCTGTATTGCAAGTGGATTCTTTACCACTGTGCCACCAGGGAAGCCCACACTTAATAAACAAAAGCTGGCATTATTGCCTTTATGAAAAAAAATCTTCTCTTCAGCCACATCTCTTGCCAGCTGCCTACCACTTCAAGTCAAACCTCCTACCATCCCAAGCAACTTGCCTCATAACTTCTCATGACTCCAGTCAGTCCACTTGAAGAACTCCTAGTCATCCTTCAAAACCCTATTTAGGTGTTGCCTCCTCTAGGAAGTCTTCCCTCACTCCTAGCCTGAATCTCCAATCACAGATCCTGGATGCTGGCCAATGTGTTTTCTTTGGATGCCCTGTTGTGTTTCCTGTGTCCAGGAGGGTTTTCATGACTCACTGTTAGTTCTGCTGTCCCAGACCTGCAAGTCACGTCAGCCCTCTGTGTCATACTGGAGCCAAAAGGTGATGCTTCAGAGTTTCTAGATCTTTCTCCACCCTGGACATCCCCATCTCAGAGACCAACCTGGAGTTTTCTGTCCAGGTGCTTTCATCCTGTTCCCAAGAGTTCCTGCTATTGTTGGGGGTTGGGCCCCCCACCTACAAGACTGCTGACCTCTGGCTCCTCCATCCTGAGTGCTCAATTGACCCCCCGAGCCTCTCATCTCCAGCCATGCACATTTCTGCCACGTCCTACCCCAACTCACCAATTTTAGCTAATAGGCATGTTTTGTCTTGTTAACAAAAAAAGGAAAAGAAAAAAAAAAGCTCTTGGGACATTTGGAAACAATTTATTAATCAGCTATTTGTCATTTTGAAAGTATTCTAAAGTGTGTCTGTGGATTATTGACAAACTCAATCCAATCAGAAATCAGAGTTACTTGGGTGATATAATTTTTGAAACTAACTTATGAAAATCTTTGTAGTATTTTTTTTTTTTTGCTTTTTCATCAGTTTTATTGCAGTATAATTTACATGCACTGCATGGGTGCTAAATTGCTTCAGTCGTGTCCAACTCTTCGCAACCCCATGAACCGTAACCCCGCCAGGATCCTCTGTCCATGGGATTCTCCAGGCAAGAATCCTGGAGTGGGTTGCCACTTCCTCCTCCAGGGGACCTTCCTGACCCAGGGGTTGAACCCGTGCCTCTTACATCTCCTGCACTGGCAGGGGGGTTCTTTACCACTAGCGCCACTTGGGAAGCGTCTTACATGCAATGAAATTCAGTGAATATACTGATGAGACTTGACGAATGTATGCTATCATGTGTATAAATTCCTGTGTAAATGTCCAGGTGCTTTCATCCTGTTCCCAAGAGTTCCTGCTGTTGTTGGGGGTAGGGCCCCCCACCTACAAGACTGCTGACCTCTGGCTCCTCCATCCTGAGTGCTCAATTGACCCCCCGAGCCTCTCATCTCCAGCCATGCACATTTCTGCCACGTCCTACCCCAACTCACCAATTTTAGCTAATAGGCATGTTTTGTCTTGTTAACAAAAAAAGGAAAAGAAAAAAAAAAGCTCTTGGGACATTTGGAAACAATTTATTAATCAGCTATTTGTCATTTTGAAAGTATTCTAAAGTGTGTCTGTGGATTATTGACAAACTCAATCCAATCAGAAATCAGAGTTACTTGGGTGATATAATTTTTGAAACTAACTTATGAAAATCTTTGTAGTATTTTTTTTTTTTTGCTTTTTCATCAGTTTTATTGCAGTATAATTTACATGCACTGCATGGGTGCTAAATTGCTTCAGTCGTGTCCAACTCTTCGCAACCCCATGAACCGTAACCCCGCCAGGATCCTCTGTCCATGGGATTCTCCAGGCAAGAATCCTGGAGTGGGTTGCCACTTCCTCCTCCAGGGGACCTTCCTGACCCAGGGGTTGAACCCGTGCCTCTTACATCTCCTGCACTGGCAGGGGGGTTCTTTACCACTAGCGCCACTTGGGAAGCGTCTTACATGCAATGAAATTCAGTGAATATACTGATGAGACTTGACGAATGTATGCTATCATGTGTATAAATTCCTGTGTAATCGAGATACTCTTTCCAAAACTCCCCAAAGTTTCCCTTTGCAGTAATCACTTCCCTCACCCCCTCGACCCTTTGTAACCACTGGTCTTTATTCTCTCACCTAGACTGTCATGTAACTGGAATCATACATATTGTACAAATACCAGTAGATCATTCCTTTTTATTAAGGAAGTCCATTGTCTAAGGAGAAGGAAATGGCAACCCACTCCAGTATTCTTGCTTGGAGAATCCCAAGGATGGAGGAGCCTGGTAGGCTGCAGTCCACAGATTGCAAAGAGTCCCATATGACTGAGCGACTTCACTTTCATTTTCTTTCCATTGTCTGAATTTACTATAAATAACTTATTCCTTTAACTGTTGATGGACATATCTATTACAAATTGGATTGCTTCCCACTTTTGATTATTTTGATTAAGTGGGATGAGTTGAATTGCCTCTCCCTTCTACCTCCACAAATTTATATATTGAAATCCTAATGTGTAGTAGACCTCGGAATACGATCTTATTCGGAAATAGTTTACGCCCCCATGACCTCCTCACTCAGTACTCCAGGAATCTGGGAACCTCCTAGGCTTGTAGGTCTTGGATCTGGGCATTGAATTTATCAAATTGTCCCAGAAAGTGGACAAATAACTCGTATATTTATGCTACTTATTTATGTTTTTATTGAGGTATACTTGATTTTCAGTACTACATTAGTTTCAGGTGTACAACACAATGATTCAGATTTTTTATGGGTTATATTCGGTTTAAAGTTTTTACGAAATACTGGCTGTCGTCCCTGTGCTGTACAATATAGTCTCGGAGCTGTTTTGTTTTATACATAGCTAGTTCGTAAGGCACACGTATTTTTAGATGAGGAAACAGGCTGATCCATTTGAAAGACACACAGAGGACCCAGGTCCCGAAGGACAGCGGCCCCCTGGGCTCCTGGGTCGGACTTTAAAGCTGAGCGAGTGTGACGTCATTGGAACCGCGCGTAGGCTCCGCCCCCGAGGCCCCGGCCACGCCCCGGCCCCAGAGACTACCCTTCCCAGCAGCAGCTGCGCTCGCAGTCCGTCACTTGGGCCCCGCCCCGCCCCTTCCGGAATCGCGGGGTTCCGGCGGCGTGCGCCCTTCCGCACGTGGGGCCCGGGCGGCGCGCTCCTGGGGCTGACGCCGGGCGCGGGAGTGCGGGCGGCTGCAGTGAGACTCCCACTCCGGCCAGGCATGAGCCGTTACGTTCTGCCGCTGTCCGTGCTGGGCACGGCCGTGGGCGGCGCCGTGCTGCTCAAGTGAGTTCGCGCGGGTCTCAGGCGCGGTAACGGCGGGCCGGTGGGCTTGGACAGGGAGGGAGGGCCGGGTGGAGATCGCCAGCTCCTCGCCCACCTGGGAGTCCTCCTGTCCACTCATCCAGCAGTGCTCCCAGAGAAGGCGGGGACAAGCCTGGGCCCCGAGCGGGCAGGTCACGGCCCAAGGTCGGCCAGAGAAAGGGGCGGATCCGGGCCCCGGTAAACATTTTGGTCTACTTGCTTCCGGACTTTTAATAGATTAATTAATTCGTTCGGCAGATACCTACTGAGCAGCTCCCATATGTCACGTCCTGGCCCAGATGCAAGGAACGTGTATGTCACTTAAGCTGTCATTGTCCGGAATCAGGGAAACAAATGTCCAATTCAGTCAATGAAAAGATCGTTATTGCGTGGGATATACACATACGAGCACATACGACAGTTCTTTCCTGTGGTTCCTGGGCTAATTCACTTAATAAAAACAAGACAGGGGTCTAACAGATACAAACTATTAGTTATAAAATAGAGTACAAGGATATATTGTACAACCAGGGGAACTTAGCAAATTTTTTATAATTGATATAAATGGAATATAACCTTTAAATATTGTAAAGCACTATGTTGTCCACCTGTACTGTATATAATGTATATCAACTATTCTTCAATATAAAAATCCCCCCCACTCCAAACTACAATACAGCAGCCAAATATTCCATAGCAGTACCATTCAGTAGAACTTTCTGTGAAGATGGAAATCTTTTACATTCGCCCTGGCTATTACAAGCCATGCGGTGTGACTACTGATCACCTAAAAATATAATCGTGTTATGCTTGTAGTAACAGTATTATACTGTACACTTAAAAATTTGTTAAGATGGTAGACCTCATGTTAAGTGTTCAGGATTAGCAATATGTATTTTATTACAGTTACTCAAGATATTAGTTGAGACTTAGGCCATAAAGTGATTGCACTATTAAAGTATCTTTTTTTCCACTCTCATAAGGGGTTGAAGGATAGACTGACTGTCAGTCTCTTTGAATAAATACGTTTGGGCTTGTTCATCTGCTCTGTGATGAGGCTTCATTTTGAACTTGTTCTTCCTGATCCAATAAAGTCTTTTTTGTGTAGCCTGCTGGTATCTTGTTTTTTGTAAACTGAAGTGTAAATATTAACCACCTTTTTTTTTTTGAGGGCTCTAGGAAATGGAAATAATTTTTCCTTATAATAGAAATCATCGGGAAATTTCCTGGTGCTCTGGGGGTTAGGACTTGGCGCTTCCTCTGCTGGGGCCTGTGTTCAGTCCTTGGTTGGGGAAGTAAGAACCCTCAAAGCAGAAGGCATGGCCAAAAAATTCGTCAGCTGCTGTTTTTATTTTTATTCATGCTGATGTCTGTTAGTTCTGAAAAAGCTTAAAAATAATACTAATAAAAAATACCAGCTTGGGAAGAATAAAAGAAAGCTGAATGCCCTGGCTGGGGATGGGGAATATGACTATTTATTTTTAATTAAAAATGACCCTCTTGTCTGGAGAGGACACTGTTTCTCTGGCCAGCTTCCTGTTGGTGACATTTAGTTTCCACTATTTAGCCTCTGGAGTATGGACACAGTCGCAGAATAAGGCCCTCCTGCCCTCTCTTCTGGGCACATCCTAATGCCCAGAACCTATGACTGTTTCCTTACCTGTCCAAGGGGACTCTGCAGATGTCACTGAGGACCTCCATGATGGGAGATGATCACCAGGTGGCCCCAGTGTTGTCACAACGGTACTCACAAGAGGGAGGCGGGAGAATCAGAGCCGGGGACTTGACGCCGCTGTGTTGCTGACTTTGAAGGCGGGGGATGGGGCCACGAGCCCAGGGATGCAGGCGGCCCTTAGAATCTGGAAAAGCCTCGGGAACAATTCTCAATTCTCCCTCGCGCCTCCAGGAACACAGCGCTGGCGACATCTCGGTTTTAGCCTGTGAGACCTGTCTCGGACTCTGACCCGCAGACTCTAGGGAAACACCACTGTGTGGTTTTCACCCACTGAGCTCCTAGTGACATGTTACAACAGCCGGAGGGGTCGAACACGGGTCTTTATCAGCTAACGATGGTTATGACGAGGAGGCTCCCCCACACCAGGTGATGTTGAGTAACCACAGGGCTCCCTTGGGTTGTGTGATGTTTGTTGTTCCCATCTTTCCGCTGGGGGAACACAAGCTCAGAGCGGTCCCTTGCCTGAGATCGTAACTGTCAGGGGTCCCTGCGGTGAGAGTGGACAGACAGATGGAACTGACCTCCCGTTTCCTACCTCCAGGGACTTTGTCTCCGGCGGGGCTTGTCCCAGCAAGGCCACCATTCCTGGGAAGACTGTCATAGTGACTGGTGCCAACACGGGCATCGGGAAGCAGACCGCCCTGGAGCTGGCCAAAAGAGGTGGGCACCTGCTTCTCTGCCCAGGGCTCAGGCGCGAGATCTGGTGGTGGACGATGGGATTCCCCTGGGGATGTTAAGATCTGGTGTTAAGACCTGGGGGTGTTAAGGCTTCTGATTCTTTCGGTTTTGCAAGTGGCAGAAACAAACGCAGGCTGGCTTAAGCCCCAGAGCCTGGTGTTCCTGGAAGGGGGCGGGTGGGTCCAGGGGCTCAGAGGAGCCCGTGGACACTCAGCAGTTTGGGTTTTTCTCTGTATCAGCCTCACCGTCTCCTATGCTAGCTGGACTCACTCCCATTGACTGGGTCGGGGCCTGGGTCAGAGGCTGGGAATAAGACTTCTGGCTCTTCCAAGCTTACTGATCAGGTCTTTAATAGAATTCCCTCTTCAGTTTGGGTCTGTTTGATGTTTTTCTCATGGTCAGAGTGGGCTTATGGAGACGTGTCCTCCTCAGCACACACATCTCTCTCTTTTATTTTTTTATTTTTTATTTTTCGCACAGGAAGGTCTGCTTTTAATGAGTATCTTTAAAAGCCTTTGCAACAGCAGGCGCAGCCCAGGGCAGCCTGGAAACCCACACTGAGGGCAACAGAGCTCTCTGGCTTTCAGATGACCCAGAGGCTGGATTCTTTCTGGTCTCTCTCAACAGCTGAGCATCGTGATTTTGCTAATTAAGCCGCTTTCTTCTCCTTAATTAGCTGCATGTGAATCTTGTTGGGAAGTCTTGGATCCGTGAAATAGTCTGCGGCAAATTCTTGAATGTCGTCTGGTCTTTTCAAAAACATATCTCTGAACAAACCACTTATGAGCAACGCCACTTCTTTGTGGGTCCTAAGGTACTTCTCATTAGTAATCCGAGTTTGAATCTTGAAGCCGCGCAGCTTCTCCAGCTGTTCTGGGCTCAGTGTTTCGGGGTACAGCCCCTTAATCGCGCCCGGCAGTTTCGCCTTCTTGTTGCGGTCCAGATCTCTCTCTTTTAAAAATTTATATATTTTTGGCCCCACTGTGTGGCGTGCAGGATCTTAGTTCCCTGACCAGGGATCAAACCCAGGCCCCTTGCAACGGAAGCTCGGATTCCTAACCACAGGACTGCCAGGGGGTTCCCCACAGAGCTCTCTTGAATTTAGAATCGGTGGGGTTTCTTAGGGGACAGGTAGGAGAGAGGGAGGCGTCCCGGTTTTGTTTGAACAGCTGGACCAGAGTCGGGAGGGAGAGGCCGGGGCAGGCGTGAGGGCTGGGAGAGGCTGGGACCTCTCCTTGCGGGGGTTGAGCTGTGGTGGGTCCCTGCTGGATCAGCCAGGCCCGGAGCTGCATGTTCGCCCCAAGGTCAGTGGTGGGGGCCATGGTGGGCGGTCCTCTGCCCCTGCGCCTCATCACACGGGGTTTCCCCAAGGGAGGGGCAGGTGTTCCTTTCAGGACCAGGTGAGACCGGAACTTGGGCCAACACACCCACCGCCGTCCAAGGGCTGGGCTGGCCCTGCGAGGACAGAGGAGCCCGGACTTGACGAGCTCTGCCCTGGACTGTGTGATGGGGCAGCCGGTGTGTGAGGTGGCTGGTCCACCCCAGGGGAGCCCCAAAGACCCACACAGTCAGCATCGTTGTTGCCCATCCTTCTCTCAGTCCCTGTTCTTTCTCACTTTTTTAATTTGAAAAAAAAAAATTTTTTTTAACAGCTGTATTAGGATTTAATTCACATGTTTAAAATATACACTTATGTGATTTTTAGTATATTCACAGAAATGTGCAACCATTACTGCTCTCCATTGTAGAACATTTTTCATCACCCCCAAAATAAAACCTGTGTCCTCTAAGCCATCACCCTCTTAATTTCCCATCCTCTGCAAAGCTAGGAAACCACTGATCTTCCTTCTGTGGATTTACCTCTTCTGGGCACTTCAGATTAATGGGATCATACACTGCCCTTTTATGTCTGCTTTCTTTGAGTGAGTGAGCCTCATGTGTGTGAGGCTTATCCAAGGTCTGGATGTTTTGCGATTTCCTTCCTTTTCATGGCTGAGTAATATTCCACTGATGGATAGACCATGTTTCCCTTATTCATGTATCCCTTAATAATTTTTCAAAAAATATTGGAGTATAGTTGATTTTGTGTTAGCTTCAGTTGTGCCACAAAGTGATTCTCTTTTACATACACATGTATCTATTCTTTTTCAAATTATGTCCTATTTAGCTCGTTACAGAATATTGATCAGCATTCCCTGCGGCCTCCAGTAGGTCCTTGTTGGTTATCTCTTTTATATACAGTCGTGTGTATATGTTAGTCCCAAACTCCCAATTTATCCCTCCACCTCTACGTTCATTGTTCCCTCGATGGACATTTGGGGCGTTTATACCTCTGGCTGCTGTGAATAGTACCACTGTGTACGTGTGAGTACACAGTTTTGTATGGACTTACGTTTTCATTTATCTTGGGTACATACACTTAGGAGTGGATCCTTTTTATGTTTACTGAAAAATTTTTTTTCTCGTCTGGGTCTTCCAGGAGGCAACATCATTCTCGCCTGTCGAGACATGGAGAAGTGCGAAGCAGCGGCCAAGGAGATCCGAGGGGAGACCCTGAATCACCGCGTCAACGCCCGGCACCTGGACTTGGCCTCCCTTAAGTCCATCCGAGAGTTCGCGGCGAAGGTCACTGAAGGTAGGAGAGCGGCTGCTGGCCTTGCGAGGGAGGGCTTGAGCGGCCGGGCAGTGAGGAGGGGTCGCACCAGGCAGGTCCTAGAGCTGAGTGTTGGTCACGGGCTGTTTTTGTTCAGTCTTTGGGTGCAGATTTTACATTTTTTTTCTTTTTGACATTTTCATGTTTACATATTTGCCATTTTTACATGTGGGAAAGCAAATCAAAGAATAACATTTCATGACATATGACTATTATATGGAATTCAGATTGTGTTTTTTTTTTTTTTGGCCACACTGCATGGCTTTTAGGATGTTAGTTCCCAGGCCACAGATTGAACCTGCTCTCTGGGCAGTGAAAGCACAGAGTCCTAACTCCTGGATTGCCAGGGAATTCCTGGAATGCAGATTTTAGTTTCCCTAAAGGTTTTTTTTTTTTTTTAAACTGGAGTATGATTGTTTATAGTGTTGTGTTTCTGCTGTAGAAGAATGTGAATCAGCTATATGTGTACACGTATCTCCATAAAGGGTCTTCCCTGGTGGCTCAGTAGTAAAGAACCCGCCTGTCAATGCAGGAGACGTGAGTTCAGTCCCTGGGTCAGGAAGATCTGCTGGAGAAGGGAATGGCAACCCATTCCAGTATTGTTGCCTGGAGAATCCCATGGACAGAGGAGCCTGGCAGTGAAAGCACAGAGTCCTAACTCCTGGATCGCCAGGGAATTCCTGGAATGCAGAGTTTAGTTTCCCTAAAGGTTTTTTTTTTTTTCAGACTGGAGTATGATTGTTTACAGTGTTGTGTTTCTGCTGTAGAAGAATGTGAATCAGCTCTATGTGTACACGTATCTCCATAAAGGGTCTTCCCTGGTGGCTCAGTGGTAAAGAACCCGCCTGTCAATGCAGGAGACGTGAGTTCAGTCCCTGGGTTAGGAAGATCTGCTGGAGAAGGGAATGGCAACCCATCCCAGTATTGTTGCCTGGAGAATCCCATGGACAGAGGAGCCTGGCGGGCTATAGTCCATGGGGTTGCAAAGAGTCGGACAGGACTGAGTGACTCAGCGACAACAAAATCATCTCTGTAAAGTTTAATTGACACACAGCTGGGCCCATCAGTTTCCATTTTGTCTGTGGCTGCTTTAGTCCTGCGAGGGCAGAGCTCAGTGGAGACAGACCAAATCGCCTGCAAAACCGAAGGTATTTGCTGCCTGGCCCCTTATAGAAGAAGGTTACTGAGTTCCACTCTCCAGGAAGCCCAAGTCCTTCTGCTGAGCTGGGCTCCTGGGAGAAGCAGAGGCCGGGAATGGATTTGATGTGTAGGGAGGCAGAGGGAGAGTTAACCGGGAGAAGGGCAGAGACACCGAGTCACCCACTGTTTGCTCAGGCTATCTGGCGCTGGGGTGGCTCCGGGGACACAGACGTGAGTCAGATTCAGGCTCTGTCTCTGGAGCGACTGGGCCGTGTCGGCCATGAGGACAGGTGACTCAGAGGGGACCTGCAGGCACGATGCGGAGCACCCAGAAACGCCCACCTTTTCCACTGGGCGTTTCCTGCTGCAGATCCAGAAATCAGGCTGGCGTTTCTTTGCACTTCCGTCTCCCTGATGGCTGACTCACTCTTCCTGCTGCTCGCCACACGGTCTCGGAACCGCTTACATATTTATCTATTTTCCGAACAGGAATAACATTTGCAAGCTTAAACGTTCAGAAAGTGCAAACGGGGATAGAGGAGAACATCTTCCTGGTGCACCCGCCACCGCTCCCTGGATGCTCTCCTCAGATGGGTTCACTGCTTCCCCCGCTGCGTGTCCTCTGGGGACCGTTTCTGCGTGCATAAAGCCAGCGGGGGACACACCTGCCCATGGGTCTTTTGTATAAACCGCAGCCTGTTACACAGCCGGTCCTGCCCCTGCTGTTTGTCCCCAGTTCTCCCCGGGAGATCAGTGTGGGCGGAACTTTTTCCTTTTATTGTGTGGCTGTCTTGTGTATGTTTGTTTCTTTCCCTGCCACTGTGGGTCTTGCAGGATCTTAGTTCCCGACCAGGGATTGAATCCATGAGCCTTGCTGTGGAAGCGTGGAGTCCTAACTACTGGACGCCAGGGAATTCCTGTGTGTGTTTAAATTTTTATTGAAATATAATTGACTTACAGTGTTTTGTTAGTTTCAGGTCTAAGGCAAGCTTGAGCTCTGATTTACTTACATACACACATGAATGTGCACAAAAATATTTTTTTTTTAAGATTCTTTTCTATTCTAGAGTATTACAAGGTATTGAGTATAGTTCCCCATGCCATACAGTAGGTCTTTGTTGGTTATCTATTTTATATATAGTAGCGGGTATATGTTAATCCCAGATTCCTAATTAACCCCTCCCCCTGCACCTTGGTAATCATGTTTTCGATGTCTGTGAGTCTATTTCTGTTTTGTAAATGAAGTCATTAGTATCCTTTTATTTAAGATTCCATTTTTAAGTGAGAGGATGAGATGGTTGGATGACATCATTGGCCCAATGGACATGAGTCTGAGCAAACTCTGGGAGATAGTGAAGGACAGGGAAGCCTGGCGTGCTGCAGTCCATGTGGTCGCAGTCGTATGCAAACTTAGTGACTGAACAGTAACAGCATTTAAGTGATATGTAATTTTGCCTTTCTCTGGCTCACTTCACCTAGTATGATGATCTCTAGGTCCATCCCTGTTGCTGCAAATGGCATTGTTTCATTCTTTTTTATGGCCGAATAATATTCCATTGTACTATGTCTTCTTTATCCATTCCCCTGTCGATGGACACTTAAGTTGCAGAAAGTACTTTTTGAGTGGATGAAGCCATCCTACCTGGCAGGTTCTGTTACCCATTTCACAGAGGGGGAAACTGAGTCCCGTTTGTCCTCACCCCTGTTTTCCAGAGGAGGAGCATGTTCACATCCTGATCAACAACGCGGCTGTGATGCGGTGCCCCCATTGGACCACCGAGGACGGCTTTGAGATGCAGCTTGGCGTTAACTATCTGGGTGAGGCTGCAGGCTGAGTGGCATCGGCCCGGGATGTGGGCGAGGGCCCCCCTGGACCAGATGCAGGCTCCGGGAGGGGTCTTCCTCCACTCTCCAAGGCGGCCGTGCGTGGGGTCACCTGGCAGCTCGGGGAGCCCCCCTGTTCACAGCTGGACCTTCAGTCCTTCGGACCTTTCATCAGGCTCTTGGCCTCTTGTCCCTTTGTCTGTCTGTCCTTCACTTGCTGTGTCAGTTTGTCTGTTGTCACTCTGAGCCCATCAACAGGGCTGAGGGACATCGGGTAGACATCAGTCATATGGGATTAGGGGCTACCCTAATGAGCTCGTTTAAACTTTATCACCTTTCTGTAGACCCTCTCTCCAAATAAGGTCACACTCCAAGGTACTGGAGGGTAGGACTCTTTTTTTTAGGGGTACTTGGGGGGTGACATGGCTTCCCTGGTGGTTCAGGTGGTAAAATATCTCCCTGCAGTGCAGGAGACCCGGGTTCGATCCCTGGGTGGGGAAGAGCCCTTGGAAAAGGGAATGAGCAACTTAAGCACGCACAGTTCACCCGTAACATGTGTGACTATCTTCATCCGCTACTGGCTGGGACTCAGTTATGTGACCTGGTGGAGCTGCAAGGGAGACTGGGAAATGTCTTTACTGGGCAGTCTCATGGGTAACCCAAAATTCTATCACTGGGAAAGAAACGGAGAGAGAGTTTTGATAGACAGACGGCCCTCATAGAGGGTTATCACAGGACTTTGTGATAATTAGTTGTGGGGACTGTCTTGTGCATTGCAGCATTTTTTATTTTAGGTGCACCACAGGGCTGGTAGGATCTCAGTTTACCGGGTCAGGATTGCACTCAGGCTGCCGCAGTGAGATCCCAGCATCCTAACCGCGAGGCCCCCAGGCGACTCCTGCACTGGGGGATTTCTAGCCGCATCCCTGGCCTCCACCCCTTAGGTTGCAGTAGCACTCCTTGTATGGTCCACAGCCGTGATGATCAAGATCGCCTCCAGACTTTGCCAAATGCCCCCTGGAGGGCAGGGGGGACCCTGCTGAGAAACACAGGTTATGGAAGGAGGCAGTAAGGTGATGATGTTCTCAGTAGGGTCCTACGCCCGGGACAAGAATTCAGGAAGAGCTCTCTCTCTGTTTTCCTTCTTCCAGGCCACTTCCTTTTGACGAACTTGCTGCTGGATAAGCTGAAAGCCTCCGCCCCTTCGCGCATCATCAACGTCTCGTCCTTGGCCCACGTTGCTGGGCACATAGACTTCGAGGACTTGAACTGGGAGAAGAGGAAGTACGACACGAAGGCGGCCTACTGCCAGAGCAAGCTGGCCGTTGTCCTCTCCACCAAGGAGCTGAGCCGGCGGCTGCAGGGTGCGTGTGGCCGAGCCTCGCTGGGCTCCCCTCTCCGTTGGCTCCGAGCTTGAAACGGTCCTGCCGTGACCCTGGGTGGATGGGAAGTCAAGCAGTGGCTCCAGGACAGCAGGCCAACTCATGACACACGTCCTATCAGCTCCCCACTGGTGCCCGAAGCAGACATCACTAATTGATCACTGCACTCTCCTCTGCTCATCCCATGCAGGCACCCTAGCCTTTGCTGTTCTAGGCCAGTGGAGCTTTGGCAGTATCTGGAGATGTTTTTGGCTGTCGTCTGGGGAAGAGGGGCGGGTTGGGAGATGTTCCAGGCATCTCGTGGGCAGGGGCCAGGGGTGGTGCTCAACATCCTGCAATGCACAGGATAAAGAATATCCCAGCTCAGCATCCGTAGTGCCAAAGCTGAAGAGCCTGCCCTTTGCCCTTCTCAAAGAGGGTCTGTGGACCGGCAGCGTGGGCTAACCTGAGCGCTTGTTATAATTGCAGCATCTCAGACCCCTCCCCGACCACTGCTTCAGAGTCTGGGTGTGGAGCCTAGCGGTCTGGGCTTCTCCAGCCCTCCAGGTGATGTTTACGCACTCAGGTTCAGAGGCTTTGCTTTGGGCAGCTGTGAGACAGCTGCCGTGCAAGATAAAAGCACGGATGTGAAGGTTCCAGAGCAGGAGGGTGATGTAGACTCGGGGGAGTCCTAGATTCCAGGGCAGGCAGCGTCAGCCTTCCGAGTGAGGGGTGGACCTGCTGTCTGTTTGCCTCACTCTTCCCTCTGTCCCAGGCACGGGCGTGACTGTCAACGCCTTGCATCCCGGTGTGGCCAGGACAGAGCTGGGCAGACACACGGGCATGCACAGCTCTGCCTTCTCCAGCTTCACACTCGGTAAGTCCCCTCCTGGCCTGGGGTCCCTTACCTGAACCCCTGTCCTCCCAGCTTGGGGCCCAGGGCCCTCCCTCAGTGTATGAGGGTTTTCCAGGGAAACTGAACCAATAGGATATACAGGGGTATTTAGAGAGATTGACTAGGAGGGTTTGGCTCATGCATATGTGGGGGCCAAGAAGTCCCAGGACCTGCCTTGTATGTCGGAGGCCTAGGAATGCTGGCCCTGCACTTCCAGCCCAAACCCGAAGGCCCGAGGACCAGGGGAGCCACTGGTGTAAGTCCCAGGCTGACTTGAAAAGCCAAGGGGGTGGACGTCCGGGCTCAGCGTCCCACCAGTTAACTTCCCAGTGCCCGCCCACCTTGGGAGGGTGGATTTCACAGTCTTTACACACACCCTCACAGACACCCCGGAAACAGTATTCTCCCTGCTCTTTGGGCATCTCGTAGCTCAATAAGTTCACATATACATTTTCTCTCTCTTTTACCTTTTGGCTGCTTTGCACATGGGATCTTAGTTTCCTGACCAGGAATGGGACCTGTGCCGCCTGCGTTGGCAGCTCCAAGTGTTAACCACTGCGCCATCAGGGAAGATCCCCACACATAAAATTAACATCACACTCGGGGTCTATCTCAGGGGCTTTTTCTGCTTTCCCCCGTGTCTTCCCTGGTACCAGCTCACTTTCATGTGTCTGCCCAGCCTGCCAGCCTCAGAACACCCTGGGAAACAGGCCCGAGCCTTGTGTTGTTCAGTCACTCAGTCGTGTCCGACCCTTTGCGGCCCCATGGACGGCAGCATGCCAGACTTCCCTGTCCATCACCAGCTCCCAGAGTTTGCTCAAACCCCTGTCCATCGAGTCAGTGGTGCCATCCAAACATCTCATCCTCTGTTGCCCCCTTCTCCTCCTGCCTTCAGTCTTTCCCAGCATCAGAGTCTTTTCTAATGAGTTGGCTCTTCACGTCAGGTGGCCAGATTATTGGGGCTTCAGCCTCAGCGTCAGTCCTTCCAGTGATTGATGAGAAACATGTTTCAGAGGAGGAGGTCATGGGGCTGACTGCCTGGAGTCCAGCCATGTGTGGGATAGCTCTAGTTTCATCCCAAACTGGCTGGGCCACCCAGGGAAGAGACTTCTTTCCAAATCCCTATTTCCTTATCTGCCAAGTAAGGCTCATAGTAGTACCTGTCTCACAGTGGGGAGGACTAGATGAAACCACCCTGAAAAGGGCCAGCACAGATTTAGGCTGAATAAATGGTGAGAGCTTTATAACTAGTGTTTGTTATCCTGGCAAACATCTCAGTTGGTGGCGGCTAGGTATCAAGAATCTTAAGCTGAGGCTGGCACTGGAGACAATACACAAAAGTCAGTTTAAAGACAGATCGGGGTGGTGGGGATACTTCGTTCGTGGTCCAGTAGTTAAGACTCTGTGCCTCCACTGCAGGGGCCACAGGTTCAGTCCCTGGTTGGGGAGCTAAGATTCCCATGCCATGCATGGCGCAGCCGAAAACAAAACAAAAAGAGAGATCGGGTGGGGTGAGGACTCGGACCTTCCATTTGCCTGGGAAAGTGAGGGGGGCTTCCTGGAGGAGGCAGCTTTCAGGCTGGTTCCTGCATCTGGAGCTGACTTGTCTGAGCAGTGCCAGGGAAGGGAGCTCCTGTGTAAGGACCAGAGAGGCAGAGGCCGCAGGTGAGCTCCGTGGGCCTCCAGGGACCCTTCTGCTTCCGTGGGCCCCGAGCAACCCGGGGTGAGGTGGGCTTTCTGTGCCTTCCTCTCTGAATGTCTGGACTGAGCTCTCTGTGGACTGACTGCAGGGCCCATCTTCTGGCTGCTGGTCAAGAGCCCCCAGCTGGCGGCCCAGCCCAGCGTCTACCTGGCCGTGGCGGAGGAGCTGGAGGGTGTTTCTGGAAAGTACTTTGATGTACTCAAAGAGAAGGCTCCAGCCCCGGAAGCTGAGGATGAGGAAGTGGCCAAGAGGCTTTGGGCTGAAAGTGCCCGCCTGGTGGGCTTGGAGATGTCCCATGAGAGGGGACAGCCGCTCCCCGAATAACTGCTGGAACAGGCGAGGAAGCCACCGGCGAGGCAGAGCCACTCCTGTGGCCGGCAAGCAGCCAAACCTAGGTGTCCTGCCCGCAGCATCCACCAGGTGGCAGTATTGACAAGGGCCCGGCTAGTCAGAGCCATGGGTTTCCTAGTAGTCATGTTTGGATGTGAGAGTTGGTCCATAAAGAAGGCTGAGCACCGAGTCTTTCGAACTGTGATGCTGGAGAAGACTCTTGAGAGTCAACCAGTCCATTCTAAAGGAAATAAACCCTGAATATTCATTGGAAGGACTGACGCTGAAGCTGAAGCTCCAGCACTTTGGCCACCTGATGTGAAGAACTGTCTCATTGGAAAAGACCTTGATGCTGGGAAAGATTGAAGGCAGCAGGAGAAGGGGACGACAGAGGATGAGATGGTTGGATGGCATCACTGACTCAACGGACATGAGTTTGAGCAAACTCTTGGAGACAGTGAAGGATGGGAAGCCTGGCGCACTGCAGTCCATGGGGCCGCAAAGAGTCAGACACGAGTGAGTGACTGAACAACAAATTGTCCAAGGGGTGCTGACTGCCATGCCTGCGGCTCCCTCTAGGTGGTGGCATTGCCTCTTTTCTGGCTGTAGTGGATCGGCCCCCAGGTGAGCACCTGGCCCGGGGCTGGCTGGCGCAGAGTGCCCTGCTGCCGACAGGTGAGGTGGGCCAGGGGACGCCTCCTTTGGGAATCCACACCAGGAGTTTTGGGGGTGGTGTCACCTGCCTCTGGTGGGGACCATGCCTGAGACCGGATGGCCCGTGGGAAGGTTTGTCTGACGCCGCTTGAGTGGGTTCGTGGTCCTCGTGTGACTGTGTGACCTCCGGTCTCCTCTCTCAGCCTTGGCTTCCCCAGCCGTTCACTGGACTACCTCATCACATGGGGACGAGTTTCCCCTGGCTCATCACCTTCCTTGCCAGTGGCTATTTACTGAGGCCCTGCCGCGTGCTGGACCCTGGCGGGGTGCTGGAGACGCCCCCCCAGGAGCAGACCCTGTTGTCTGCATATCACACTGGGGGCGTCCCGGGGTGGGGGCGGGCAGGGGGGAACCGCTGAGGAGCCCGGAGGCCCGGGACCATGGCCATCCCTGCAGTTCCTGTGGGAGCTTCAACCACAGAGTCTCCAGCTTGCTCTTTGATTAAAGAAAAGCAAAACTGCAACTGAGTCATAGGTTTCATTTTCTTCCTTTATGTGTGTGTGTGTGTGTGTGTGTGGCGGGGGCGGTGCTAAGGAGCTGGCCTGAAAGAACTTGTATTTATTACATTTAGAGAATGGGCTGTTGACTTAACTACCGCCAGGGCAGTAAACAGCTCAGAAGTTCAGACTTTCGGAGATGAAAGGGGCCCTTTCGTGAAAGGGTTCCTCCTTTCACGTGGTGACAGCCCTTGAGGTCTGGGTGCCTTCCGACTTAGAAGCGGGGCTGACGCTCCGCTTGGGCACAGGGTGGGGAGGCCCCCAGGGAGCTCAGTAATCGAGGTAAAACGTGTCTTAACGTTAAAACGTTTAATACTTGGGAGAACTGTGGAGGCCACATCCTACGATGCGCAGAAGGGCAGAGAAGGACCCTGTCCCAAACGCCATCAGTGCCGAGGGGGTGGGTGGGAGGACTAGCCGAAGACGCCCCAATGCTCCAGGGACGCGGCGGGTGTTGCTTCTGTTCCCGTTGCGCGGACAATGGCCCAAGGACTGGTGTGGGCTGACCGGGCCCCACCTCCCCCTCTGTGCCCACTGTCTTCTCACTGTGTGCGCTGTACCTGGACACTCACTCCTTTTTTTTTTTTGAAAGACAACGGGATTAAAATGAAAAAATTATTTGGTTGTGTTGGCCTCTTTCATTCAGGAGTGAGGGCTATCTGCTGTGGTTGCTCCGTGGCAGGCAGGATCTTAGTTCCCCGACCTGGGCTTGAACCCACAGCCCCTGCTGTGGAGGCACTGGACCACCAGGGAAGTCCCTTCTTTTGTTTTTTAAGGGCTTCTTGATGCCGCTTGGCTCATCCAGACAATCCAGGATCGTCTTCCTCCTTTGAAGTCAGTTGTTAGGAACTTGAACCTATCATCCACCTCGCTCCCCCTTTGCCCTATAAAGTAGAAGGTTCTGTGGATTAGGATGTGANTTCTGTGGATTAGGAACACCTTGGGGGGCACCCACTTTTCTGCTGACCACACTGTTCTTTTCAAAATTGTTAAGCAAAAATCCTTTCTGCTTAAATTAAGAGGAATCATCAGCTTCACCAAGGTTGTTGGCAAGCAAATCAACTGAAAAGAACAGATTTTTAAAAGCACAAACTCCCCACTATGTGCTTTCAAAAAAAAAAAAATTGGGCTGTGTTGGCAAGAAGAGGTTGGAATTCAGAGTCTGCACAGCCCACTCTCCTTCTGGGGGAGGGTTATAGGTCCAAATGTCCATGAGAACCTCTGACCGCACGGAGATTTGTCTGTTACGTACATGCAAGCAACCTGCGGCTCACGGCTGATGCTAACCACAAACCTTCACAACCAACATCCGCTTCCTTTCTGAAACTGAGAAACCCCGAAGACCACAAGCGTTGAGTCACACATCAGCTTCACCCTTGGCTGCTTCTCTGAAGGCTTTGAGGTGGTTCACAAACCTTCAGACAGACGGAAGACAATCAAACCGATCTACAACAAGATGGGGCAAAACAAAACCCAAACATGCCGAAGGAGCCCAGAGAGCAGACGGTGGCAGAGTCATGCACGGACCCGCCGTGGACGGGGTGTTCGGGTGGGTTCTTCGCCACTGGAGACCAGGCCGGGGTCGCATCCTTCATGCTGCCCTTTGGGGCTCGGGAGCTGTGTCGGGACGGTTTGGGCTGCCGATCTCGGGACATGAAAGGGTTAAGCTGAACTGACGTGTGCACATGACCACGTGTAAAGTAGATGGCTAGTGGGAAGCCGCTGTGTAGAGAGGGAGCTCAGCTCAGCACTCTGTGATGACCCAGAGGGCGGGATGGGGGTGGAGGGAGGCTCCGGAGGGAGGGATATATGTATATCTGATTCACGTTGCTGAACGGCACAAACTAACACCCCGTTGTAAAGCAATTATATTCCAGTTTTTAAAAAAGGGTTTAAGCTGAGCTGACCTTCACCCCAGCCAAAAGCCAGAAGGAATTCCATTTCACAGAAGTACAAGCCCATGGGTGTGGCAGGCTTTGGGTTCAGTAACATCCTGAGGATTCCTCCTGCAAGGTGGGAGTCGACAATTACTGACATCACCCCGAGGCAGGGCTCTGTGGCCGGTGGAGCAGAGGTGCTTCCCGTAAAAGGTACATCTGTCCCTCCCCCTGTACCTCTGAATGGAGCCAATTCGGAAAAAGAGTTTTTTTAAGATTGTTTTTGATGTGGAGCACTTTTAAAGTTTTTATTAAGTTTGTTACGATATTGCTTCTGTTTTTTGTGTTCTGGTTTTTTGGCCCCGAGGTATGTGGGGTCTTAGCTCCCTGACCGGGGATCAAACCCCCACCCCCTGCGTTGGAAGGTGAAGTCGTAACCACTGGACGCCAGGGAAGTCCACGGAAAAAGGCTTTTGCAGATGTAATTAAGGATCTCGAGATGAGACTGTCCTAGATTTATCGGGCAGAGCCTAGCTCCAACAAGCGTCCTCAAAAGAGAAGACAGCAGAGGGGGAGATGAGGGGAGGCGGGCAGAGACACGGAGCGCGCCGCCCCAGCTGAGGAGCGGCTGGAGCCCCAGGAGCTGCAGAAGACACGAGCCTCTGAGGGTGCGTTCCCCCACCTCACCCCCGCCCCCGGCTCTGGCAACTTGAATTTGGGCTTCCGGCCTCAAGTCAGTCCTAAGGAAATCAACCCCAGATATTCTTTGGAAGGACTGATGCTGAAGCTCCAATACTTTGGCCACCTGATGCCAAGAGCTGACTCATTGGAAGAGACCCTGATGCTGGGAAAGATTGAAGGCGGGAGGAGAGGGGGACGACAGAGGGTGAGATGGTTGGATGGCATCACCGACTAGATGGACATGAGTTTGAGAAAACTCTGGGAGTTGGTGAAGGACAGGGAAGCCTGATGTGCTGCAGTCCATGAGGTCACAAAGAGTTGGAAAAGACTTAGACTGTTAGCTTTTGCCCTGCTTCATTCTGTACTCCAAGGCCAAATTTGCTTGTTACTCGGGGTGTTTCTTGACTTCCTACTTTTGCATTTCAGTCCCCGATAATGAAAAGGACATCGTTTTTGGGTGTTAGTCCTAGAGGGTCTTGTAGGTCTTCGTAGGACTGGTCAACTTCAGCTTCTTCAGCATTACTGGTCGGGTATAGACTTGGATTACTCTGGTATTGAATGGTTTGCTTTGGAAACAAACAGAGATCATTCTGTTGCATATTGGGCAGCTACCAACCTAGGGAGTTCATCTCCTATCTTTTTGCCTTTTCATACTGTCCATGGGGTTCTCGAGGCAAGACTACTGAAGTGGTTTGCCATTCCCTTCTCCAGGGGACCACGTTTTGTCAGAACTTCCACCATGACCCATCCGTCTTGGGTAGCCCTACACAGCATGGTTGATAGTTTCATTGAGAGAGACAAGGATGTGGTCCATGTGATCAGATTGGTTAGTTTTCTATGATTATGGTTTTCAGTATGTCTGCCCTCTGATGGAGAAGGATAAGAGGCTTATGGAAATTTCCTGAAGGGAGAGACTGACTGAGGGGGAAACTGGGTCTTGTTCTGCTGGGCAGGGCCATGCTCAGTAAATCTTTAATCCAATTTCTTGTCAATGGGTGGGGCTATGTTCCCTCCCTGTTATTTGACCTGAGACCAAACTATGGTGGAGGTAATGAAGATAATGGCAGTCTCCTTCAAAAGGTCCCATGCACTAAGACCATTCAGGTATGACCTAAATCAAATCCCTTAGATTATACAGTGGAAGTGACAAATAGATTCAAGGGATTAGATCTGATAGACAGAGTGCCTGAAGAACTATGGATGGAGCTTCATGACTTTGTACAGGAGGCAGTGATCAAGACCATCCCCAAGAAAAAGAAATACAAAAAGGCAAAACGATTGTCTGAGTAGGCCTTACAAATAGCTGAGGAAAGATGAGAAGTGAGAAGCAGAGGAGAAATGGAAAGATATACCCATTTGATTGCAGAGTTTCAAAGAATAGCAAGGAAAGATAATAAGGCTTCCTCAGTGATCAGTGCAAAGAAATAGAGAGCTAAAGCGATAGAATAGGAAAGACTAGAGATTTCTTCAAGAAAATTAGAGATACCAAGGGAACATTTCATGCAAAGATGGGCTCAATAAAGGACAGAAATCGTGTGGACCTAACAGAAGGAGAAGATATTAAGAAGATGTGGCAAGAATACAAGAATGCACAGAAGAACTATACAAAAAAGATCTTCATGACTCAGATAACCACGACGGTATGATCACTCACCTAGAGCCAGATATCCTGGAATGAGAAGTCAAGCAGGCCTTAGGAAGAATCAATAAAAACAAAGCTAGTAGAGATGATGGAATTCCAGCTGAGCTATTTCAAATTCTAAAAGATTATTCTGTTAAAGTGCTGCACTTAATATGCCAACAAATTGAAAAACTCAGCAGTGGCCACAGGACTGGAAAAGGTCAGTTTTCATTCCAATCCCAACAAAAGGCAATGCCAAAGAATGCTCAAACTACTGTGAAATTGCACGCATCTCACACACTAGTAAACTAATGCTCAAAATTCTCCAA